GCTTCTCCCCATCATCCAGATAGCCTATTTATGTTTTTCATTTTATACAGTATATTCACTTCCCCTTGAAGCTCTTCATCTCCAGCATGATTTTTTTTTTGCACAGGTATTGTAGAAGTTTTAAAAAGGAAAAAAAAATCCATTTTTCTCCATCTTAGATTTTCATCATTTCTTTCTTCCCCTTTCCCCATCTCCTTTATTAAAGGCCATTTGATTACATTTGCATTATCCATGCAAATGCTAGGGGTTTTTTAATAATTATTTTGCCATTCATCAAAAAAAATGCTCAGTCGGTTGCCTTTTTACAAAAAAAAAAATAATAATAATAATAATAATAAAGGAAAGAAAAAAAAAAGCTGTGACCTTATCAGTTCTGAGTAGGCCATTGGGAGTGGATGCACACATGTAATAGTCCAGGACCAGCTCTGGTGACCACTCAAGGGGAACTACTTTTAACAGCTCATAGGGCCTTTCTTTATTGGAGTATGTTGCTGTCTAGAATGTGTTCCAGTAATTTCCATGAATATTTAAAGAAGATCAGTTGTGGGGAATCTGGGTAAGACCAGGTGCCCTGAGTTGTCGATACCCTGAGACGGTCTAGCTGGGCTTCATCAAGAATGCCTTTGTGACTTGTTAGTTCCCTGTGGTGAGGAGGAGAAATTAAGGATTCCACAGGACTCAAAATTTGGTTAGATCACTTGCCTTTCTTGTGGCAGTCACCATATTCTCCTCTCCCCCAGCCCTTGAGCCTGCCACATTTTCATGGTGGGTGAAGGACTTCTGGTTCTGGAAACTAGGACTGATTTTTAGAGTGAGAGAGAATCGTGTTGAAAGGGTGATGTGCTGCCGCCATACTAATCAATATTTTTTTAACTCCGCCTTTTGTCGCGTCCTCTGAGTTTTCAGACCAAACAGACGCCCGCAGTTGAGGCTCACCAAGGGTTGCAGTGGGGAACGAGGCCCTGCCTTTGATACGAGCGCCAGTTGGTATGGGTGATGCAAGTGTGCATTTTCTCTTTAGTAAAGATGGTCCACAGCACTAACTGGTGAGGCTTATTGTACAGTATATTGTCAGTATTCTTCTGGTTCTGCATACATTATAGTTCATATATAACCTGTATTAATTGTATAGATTGTGCATTTAAAGCTGTTACCAAGTTGTCAGAAAATGAGAGAAAACAAGGTCATATGTAATATTTTGTTTGTAAGTATCCTTTGTATCATAGCAAAGGAAAAGTTAAAAAAAATCAACTGTAATAAAGTAATTTTAGTACACACAGTCTCAATGAGCTTTTTAAAAAAGTTTTATTCCTGTACCTTATAGATATCCCTGGTCAATCCCCTATAGCTTGATATGTTTCCCGTGTAATGCACTTCCCAACTGTTGCTACCACACTCATCACCAAAGGAATCACACAGCCTCTTGGGCTCTTCATTCTGCCTGAAAATAGAGGCTCTGAGTGGATCTCATCCATCAGTTGTACACTATAATCATGACTGCCCAACTTATGCAGTTCATGGACCCAGCTGCAGAACAGAGGGCTTATAGAGACATCAGCGCTGCCTGCACTTTTCCCCTGGATTTGAAGTCATAGAATGTCCAAGCTGGAAGGGGCCAGAGTCATACATACCTAGTTAATGGCAGAGCCAGAATTAGTCTGTATGTTCATTCCTTTTTCTGTAATACGCTGGGTAGATGGCAACCCCATTCTTTAACCCAGGAGCTGAATCAATAAGATGGCAGTGTAGGAGAAAGATTTGGAGCCAAGTCCTTGGTTCTAGTCCCTGCTGTGACACCAGGCAAATCATTTCTCTGCTTCATTGTCCTCACAAAATCTTACACTGCCTTTCTCAATGTTGTGAAGAGAGCAGGTTATAAACTGTCAAGTGCTTACAGATAATGTCAGTGTTAGGGCAGAAAAAGACAGTGGAGCAGCATGGTGCTTGGAATGGTTGCAGAGTTTAAAGTTGGAGGAGCCAGGTTCAAATCTTGGCTCTACCTGTTTGACTTTAGGGAAGTCACCCAACACCTCTGGGCTTCAGGTAACATCCCTTCCATCTGTATGATCCAATGAGTCAAAAATCTAAAGAAATTCTCCCCTTCCTCTCGATGGCTCAACATACCAAAGGTTAATTGGGTCATGCTGAAGTGCCTTTCACCAGAAGGTACACTTAGGGGTACAAATCCAGCAGGGCTAGGTATTCTCATCAAAGTGGTAGATAAGTGCTCCCCAGAAGGGTCTATTTACATTATTGGAAGCATGAGAGATCACTGACCTGGAGGCAAAAGACCCAGGTTTCTAGCCCTGCCTCCATCATTTAAAAGCTGTGTGAGCCTCTGGGTAAGTCATTCAACGTCTCTAAAAATATTTTCTCATTTACAGAAACAAAATAGAGATAACACCTGTCTCCTGAGGTATAGCTTTATAAATTACAATAGGATTCAGAGTTAGAAGAGACTTCAATCTTCAACCCTCTTGTCTTATAGGTGAGGAAGCCAAAGAACACAGATATGATGTGACCTTCCCAGTAGCACAGGGGAAAAGAGGATTTGAACCCAGGTCCTTTGATAAAACTAGGCTATTAAATGTGGTTTCAAAAGAATAGCATCAGAATGGACCCCAAGTTATAAAACACTTTCCCACCCAAGTTCTTAGGGACATTAACTCAAGCATCTTTACTTCCCACTTGATCAGACCAAGCCTAAAGAATCTCAAATCTCTGCCTCATCCTTAAAGATTCTGTTTCCTGAGAAGGAATATGTTGTGTTTGTTTTGGAATCTAAAGCAGTGCTTGAATGGGCGATTCATTTGAAGCTCCTTGGACATGCTTTATAAGATACCTTCATGTTTATCAGCGTGGTGTGTGATGAGAAAGGGAAGCACTTTGGTAAAGGAGTGAGAGACGATAAAAAAGACTGGTTTTAGTTCCCCAGGGGGAGAAGGCATGGATTGGTTGACTCTACATCACTTGGAAAGACTGCATCTCTGGAGGAAGTGCAGTGGTAGGTAGGACCAGAACCCAGGTTGCCAAATTCCTTATCCGATGTTCTTTTCAGCACAGCACACATCATGGCAAGAGACAGGGCTAGGTCCCCTGTACTACACACCAGGCATTGTTGACAATTGGGGAAATTTTCAGACTGCTAGGAAATGATTAACTGAAGCAAGAGGTCTGGTTATTAACTAAACAGAAACACTAGGTTAGGGTTCTGAAGAGAGAAATTGGAGCTACAAACCACAGGCAACAGCCAGTGTTTGTAGATGGAGGCCATAGGACAAGGTGTCTCAATCCCCAGGTGGGTATGTACATCCCTCTGCTCCAGCCCCAAATGACGGGGGATAAATGTCCTGGATTTGTTTCTGACTGGAAATTTGTGGGGGGAGGGGGACACACCAAGAGACAAATCTTTCTATTCCAAGGCAATGAAGTAAAAGATATTTTTCCATCCAACCACATGGTCGATGAATACAATGATGATAAATTGGCTTTTTCTTAAGTGGGGGTGGGCGGTGGGGGATTTGGAGGAACAGACCTGAAAGGCTTTTCTGTATGATTGTTAACAGCTAGTTCAGAGACTTGGTCGAAATGCTAGGTGCTGCAGTGTATAGGATGCTGGGCCTGGAGTCAGGAAGATCTGAGTTCAAAATCAGCCTCAGACACTCATTAGCTGTGTGACTCTGGGTAAGTCACTTAACCTGTTTGCCTCATTTTCCTTATCAGTGAAATGGGTAATAATAGCACCTACCTCTCAGAGTTATAAGAATCAAATGAGGTAAATATTTGTAAAACCCTATATAAATGCTGGCTATTTTCTTGCCTGTGAGGCTTTCTCAGCTACTCAGAATGTAAAACAGTCATTGAATATTTTTCATACGCTGTGCCTACTTTCATGGGGCAATAGTCCCATTTTAAAAAAAATTTTATATCCCTTCACTGGTTCTAGAATCATGCTGTAGAGCAGACTTTTCAGCTTTCTAGAAGCATGTTTTATTTCCTAAAATATCTTTAGGTTCTTCTATATTTCAAAGCAGGAGACATCTGACTGGTTTCCCATTTCAAAACTCGAGCCACAATCACCTCTATAGGAAGCAACCTTGGGAGAATTTTTTTTTTTTGGCAAGGCAATTGGGGTTAAGTGACTTGCCCAGGGTCACATAGCTAGTGAGTATCATGTGTCTGAGGTGGGATTTGAACTCAGGTCCTCCTGATTTCAGGGCTGGTGCTCTATCCACTGTACCACCAAGCTGCCCCAGGATAATTAATAATAATATAATAGCAGTTATATAACATTATAAAGTTTGCAAAATACATGTTAATTCATTTGATCAGTGATCATCACAACCCTATGAGGTAGGTGGTATTATTATTATTTCCCATTTTATAGGTGAGGAAACCGAGGCATAGAAAGATCTTAGAGACTTGTCTAGGGGTCACAGCTAAGGAGTGTCTGAGGCAAGATTCAAACTCAGTTCTTCTTGACTCTCAATCCTCTATCCACTGTACCACCTGACTGCTTTGATATTAGGTAAAGTGTGTCTGAAAAGGCCTCCTGAAGCTCTGGCTGAGCAGTCTTTGGAGGGAGCCATAGGGGCAAGGCCTCTGGAGCTCTCATATCATCTTCGAGTTGACCCAAGGGTAGCTGGACACAAATGATCCCTAGCTGAGCCTCTCAGAAGTCACCAAGACTGGCATGGCTGATAAGTAATTGGTGAAACATAAATCTAGACTCCAGCCTTTTGACTCTTAAGATGAATGTTCTTTCCATTTTCCGACCCTTTTCCATAAAGATAAACTTTCTCTGAAGAGGGATTCCCGTCATAGGCAAGGAGGTAAGTTGGATCAGCCAGTTTTAGGGGGAAAGCCTGTGCTCTCTTTTTACTGAGGTTCGGTAGTGAGCTTGAAACCTGTGGGTTCCTGGGCTTTGGGAAATAAAAGATATTAATTCTTGGCTTGGGGAGAGACCAAGGCTTGGTAGAACTTGGAGAGGTTGTCAGAGATAATTTTCCACTTTTTAATTCAGCCAGTTCCCCAAGTTCAACGGGCAGTGGAGGGGAAGCAGACATCCAATCAAGTGACCTTCACTTCTAGGGCTTAAGGCATTGCTTCCTTCCCCCACTCTCTTCATTTTAGTTTTTCATTTTCTTTCCCTCTTCTGCTTATAAGCTTCTAAAAGAGGTCTTACAAATGGGTCACATGGACATCAGGCCCCAGGTGCATTGAGAATTAACTCTGAGTTGGTGACTTTTCTGTCTGATGTTTTTTTTTTTGGTCTGCAAAATGCTTTCATACTCCAGTTCCCCCAGGGGTCAGACATTCAAAATTATCTGCCTCAAGCTTGTCCAACTTGTTCCAAGGTGTTTACTCAGGCAGGGTACAATGAGGAAGACCTCTTTAGAGCGAAGGACAGAGTCACCCAAACTTCATCTAACTGTGGGCATTGCCCTGGCTGCTAGCCAAGAGGTCACACTCTAAATTAGCACTGGGTAGACTTGAATGCCTCGATCTCCATATAGAGCAGGGGTGGGAAACCTTCCTCCTTGAGACCACATGTGGCCTAGATCCTTTAAGTGAGGCCTTTTGACTAAATCCAAATGTGGCCTCAAGGCTGTGGGTTCCCCACCCCTGCTCTAAGGTATCAGGAACCTGAGATATGGAAAGGAGATAACTTCCCTGAGTAGTGCAGTTGGCAGGCTGGTGTGGAGGGTTTTGGGGTCTGAGGCGTTCCCACTTCCTTTCTCCGGGCCCCAGTTTTCTCCTCTGTAAAAATAAGATGGTGGAACGAAATAGGCCTGCAAATAGCTCTTAGCTCTGTGGTTCTGACCCATGTCCTGACTCCCTCCTGAGAGCTGCTGGTGTTTGGGCCACCTAATACTGTCTTTGGACTTTGTCCTGGTCACTTGTCACTGCAAATACCTGAGAAACCTGAAGGTAGTTATAATTGTTTCTTTTCTGTTTTCAGCCTCCTCTCCTGCCTTCTCTCCTTTTCTCCTATGCTCTCCTCCTCCTTCTTTCTCCTTCTCTTCCTCATTCTCCTCTTCCAAAAAACCTAACAATTGGAAAAAAACCCTAACTACAGCCCTTGGAGATGGGGCACAAAATCGGCATAAGCTCTTCTTGCTGCTAAAGCCATCAGGCTATTTCTGACTTTGCACCCAGCTCTGAATTACTGGTTGCCAAGGAGGAAAAAAAAGTCTCAAAAAGGGAAATTCTGATTCATTCATTCACTGAAGTATTTGAGCACCTGCCCTGGGCACAGAGCTGTGCTGGATTGGGCATGACCGCCTACCTTCTCACCCAGCCTTTTGTCAAAGCGACATCTGTGCCCCAGAATAGTTTGATTTATAGTTCAGCCTTTATTGGCACTGGCCAAAGGTTAGGAGATGACAAAGCAGAGGGAGAAGGGGGAGGAGGAGGAGGAAGAGCAAGGGCCCACATAATCCCCAAACGAGATTCTTCTTGAACAATCGAGCCTTGTCTACATCTCAACCCAGGAGGTGTTTCTTAGGCCTAGACAGATTAGACCCAGCCTCCAAATAGCAGCAATACTGTCATCTGCAGATGCTAGGCCATGTGCCATGCGTGACTTTTGGCAAATTTGTTTCCCTTTTTAGAACTCTTTTGTTGCATATTAGACCAGGATGTGGCTTGTCACATCTGAACAAATACTCTCCAGCTCGGTGTGAGTACATGGGCAGGTTCAAATAAAGTCATGAGTCATGAGACCTTGTGTCTTAGTCAAATATGGAGCAGGACACGCTTTGATACACCTTGTGGGCTATGCTCCTCGTCATGAACAAAGATGTCCTCACATCTTTGGTCTAGGACTCATCTCATTCGGCCTTCCCCACAGAACTAACCATCCCTTAAGGGATGAGTGATTAGAAATCAGAGGAAACGTAGATGCCCCTCCAAGCAGTCCTAGATTCGGTGTGAATGGACTTTCAAATAACTGGGGCAGGGGAAAAAAATCGAGTATTAATAAGACACTGGGTAGGCTGCAACTCCCTCCGGGTTTCTAGCTTTTCCATTCACAGTACATGTGATATTTCTCCCTTCCTCCTGACCCTGGAATGGAGGAAAGTTTCTAGTGTCCATGTCTGGAAATAGGCTAGTGGTTCAGAAAACTCTGGGGAGAAAAGACATTCCATCCTTACAGAAAACAATATGGTCCTTAAAACTTAGCCCAAAAGACGAAAATGGGAGCCTCCGGTCTAGCTTTCTTGGAGCATCCCCGGATACAGGAAAAGGTACTTAAAAACATATCAGCATCTCTGAGAAGCTAGCTCAGTTAAAGAAGTCCCAGCTGTCTTTGATCCTGAGGATTCCTTAGCCCTGGCACAATGCCAGGGACCTGCTCAGAACAGGCCAGGGTCCTTGAGCCTGTGGTTAATGGTACCAAACAAGGCTTTCTGATGCCTCCTCCCCAGCTACTGAGACAGGCACCCACATTCCCTACTCTATTCTCCTCCTTGTCAGCCTCTTCATGGACAATTTTCCAGGAAGGGAATGGCAAGAAAAAGTCTGACCTAAGGAAAAGATTCTTGTCTGTGATTTTCATCTCTCCTCTCGCTCTTCATCAGGTTCAAGGCTTAGAGGAGATGGTCTACAGGCCAGAATTCATGACTGCTCATAGACTCTGTTACCATTTGAGGGGAGCCCGGCTTTCTCTGATACTGATAGGAATGAGGGACTCATCCTGTACACCAGCCTGAACCAGCTACTGTTTTCAGAACAGTGCTTTCCAGCCAGAGGGAATGGGGTGGGACTTCATAAACACAGGATGTTTGCATTTAAGGCTCTGTAGTTCTCTCTACCAAGTGGCTAAAGGGCTGAGTCCTGGTCTCAAACTCAGAGTTACAGGACACCACATGTGCGATATGACATCTATGTGTATCCTTATGGCTACTTCTAAGAAAACAGCTGTTTTTGCTGATGCCTGGGAACTTTACCTTCACTTTCCTATCTGATAAATGCATGCCTTTCTTTGGCTTTTGAAATTCATAATGATGGGAAAAGATGGCGGCCACGATAGACATGTTGTGTAGACCAGGATGAATTGGAATGACCCAAGCAGGGACTGCTACCTCATTGAGGACATAGGAACAAGCCCCTGCAGATTTTCTGTAGGTTCCATCCCTGCTAGTAGACAAGGTCGCTAAACAGAGGGATGGTGGCTGCCCACTCCAATGGTTCCTTTCCATGCTGGCATAATTCTTCCATTTGAGACCTGAGCTGATGAATGGAAGCAGCCAGCTTCCTTTTCCCATGAGGCATTAGAATCAGGGACAGGAACAATGTGGGGGCGTCTCCGTGGACCTCACTTTGTATATGACCGCTTCCAGCTAAACATCTCCTCAAGTCGAGGTGAGGTTGGCGCTACCTCTCGCTTTTGCAGAGTAAATCGTCGACGGCGGCCTGCCAAGAATGAGGAGCGGTGGCGGGACAGCCCCTTCACCTTTTCTTCTGATCGGAAGAATTCAGTCAGAGCCTGGAAATACTCCAGGGTAGCTTCATGGCTCCAGGCTGGGGAAGAATGTTCCCGGAGGAAGCCACAGTGGCCCCCATGGCGGCTGAGCAGGAGAAAGAAGTAGGGGTTGTTCTGGAAGAGTTTGGTGGGCAAGGTTTGGCCTGGAGGGCCCCGCACGGGGTCATCGGCGCTGCAAATGCAGAGCACAGGAACGGCAGCCTCATCCACGTCCCGGAGGGGATCATTGTCATCCCAGTAGGTGTCCCAGCTGATGGGGAGGTTCTTGGTGTGGCAGAAAAGGGCCTCCTCAAATTCACGCAGGGAGCGGCTCATAAAGAGTTTGTCTGTGTCCACTATGTCATCTAGGGCTGTAGCATATCTGTCAACAACAAAGACTGTAAACTGAGGCAGGGAGAGGGTGAAGAAGAGGAAGAAAAAGAACTTACAACATGACTAATGTGAAAATGTGTTTAATAGGAATGTATATTTATAGCCTATATCAGATTGCAAGCCATCTTGAGGAGGGAGGTGGGGAGGGAGGAGGAGAAAAATTTAAAACTCAAAAGCTTATGGAAGTGATTGTTGATAAATCAAAATAAATTAATTTTAAAAAAAGGAAAAAAAGAACATCATAGTGGATTTTTGGAGATACTGTTCCTTCGAATGTGGGGTTTCTCCCTCTTTCTTGGGATATTATTCTAGAATAGGAGTAATTAACCCAGAGTCCATAGACACCCAAGGGAGATAAATTTCAGGGAATCTGTAAAGTTGGATGGGAAAAAATTACATGCTTAGATTTGGTGTAATTGGTTTTCTTTATAATTCTATTTTGTGCACATAAAAACATGATTATGAGGTGTCCAAAGACTTTACCAGATTGCCCAAGGAGTCCAAGACACAAAAGGGGGTAAAAACCCTTATTCAAGGGGTTTTCAACGGGGTTTCCTGATTGCCCAGAGCCATGCTTCTGGTCATCCCAAATAGCAGCGATGGAGAGATCATTTCAGTTTGGGCTGGCTTGGCGAAGGGGAGAAAGCTCCAACGTGCACATAGTGTTTCCCCCCCCCCAAACCAAAGCAAACCAAATCAATGTAACCTTGGTCTGTGGTGGTTAAGTATTGTTCGATTCTTATCTTTGTGGCACTGTTGCCTAACATCAGTTCTGGCCCATTGGACAGACTCCTTCATTGCTCTGGCCTGGAAATCAAGGAACGTAGTTTTTTAGTCTTTCTTGCATAACTCACTGTATGACCTTAGGCGTCACTCCTTTTTTTATGATTTCCTTCTCTACAATATGGTGTTGAACTAAATGATCTCTGAAAATCCTACCAGCTCCAGCATTCTATGAATTTATGATCTTTTTGGTAGCAGATCCATTTTCCTCGTGATATTTTGCTTGAGCTAATGCTAAAAGTCATTTGCCTATCTTGATTGCACATGGGTTGGACATGGAGGGAAGGCATTCCAAGAGGGTGCTTGGTGGCAGAAGAAGCTGGGGAAGAATTTAAAATTCACTGCAGGTAGTCTAGGGAGCGGATCTGAAAGCGAATTTTCAATGAGATGTGCATGGATGGATGTTTGGGGAGATTAGCTTGTATTTGTTTCCAATTCTGACTCCAACAGTGTGACAGCCAGTTCTCAGGCATGAATTAAGGGCCAATAGCATCTCTCCTCATCATGGGATTCAACTAAGCTGAGACTTCCCATGGACCGTGAATGACAGCCCAAGGTAGATGATGTCATCTTCTTGGCCAAAAAAGATTTGCATAGGGTCTTCAACCTTAAACTCCCTGACCACTAGGTACTTCCCACAGCTCTGGATTTCTCCACCCTATTTCCTCACCCCTGATTTTGGGATGCTGTCTCAGGGTCAGGAGTGGTTGAATCATGGTGGTAGTGATGGGGAAGCACAGAGTGGTCTCTGTCATCAGTCATTTGGGCCTGGAAAACCATGGCAACCAAAACCAAATGTGGACACCTGGGCTCCTAGACTGGATTTTCTGTTACCATGGCAGCTCTGCTGAGTACAAGGTTTGTTCTTCTCATTATTGGGGGGAGAGGGGCAAAGAAGAGGAAGAAAATGGGGAAGAGGAGGAGGCAGAAATATTTTTTTAAACCTCCTCATCACCATACTGACAACTGAGACCTGGGTTATCTGCTGTGGAAAGTGCCACTCCCCTCCCCCAAGGTTCAGGTCATATGCCTCTCTATTAAGAAGCACCCCCCCCCAGCTCTTCAGGGTTCAAAAGACTCAGGGGAATCAAAGAACAGTAGAACCAGAAAGGGAGCTTGGCAACCATCTAGTCCATTCCTCTCCTTTTCCAAGGTAGGATCTTAGGCTAGAAAGAAAAAGTGACTTACTCAAGGTCACACACCTCAAGTCAGTGGCTTAGCTGGGATTCCCTGTCCAGCATTTTCTTTGACATCTGCCTAGGTCTAAGGACGCTTCAGCTTTTGCGTGCCCTATTTCCTGTCTTCCTTTGTTGCCAAGCTCAGTAAAAGTCCTCTATTTGGGTACTGGGATACAGTTCCTTCCAGGATCCCTTTTTGGACCTATCCAGCTTTGGACCAAGAGACAATGTCACATTGGATAGTACTGGCCTCTTTCCTCAGCATCCAGGCTGCTCAGGGGTTGAGACAACTGTGGATTAAGAAAAGAAGGAAGCCAGCCCAAACAGCTGTACCCATCCCATCTGAAAAGCATTTAACACTTCGACTAAAATGGGTTTCTTTCCCGCGGTGGGATTACGTAAGAGAACTTGGCCCGAACTTTTACTAAGGCCTGACATTTGTTAAAGACTTCCCAGGCAGCCCAGATTGGGGGAGGGGGAGGAGGATCACATCTGCTGCTGCTCCTCAGGGCTGCCCCAGATTGGGGTGGGGGTGGGATGGGGGATCGCGCCTGCTGCTGCTCCTCAGACTGCCTTCTGCGCTTTTTGCCCAGGGTACCCACCTGCTAAGAGTGATTTTCTGGTACAGCAGGAAGGCCCTTTCGTAGAGCCAGGGCAGCCCATCCTCAAACCACTCCCGGCAGCGGAGCACGGGCGAAATACAGGCTGCCCCCGTGGCATAGCTGGAGGAGCCACACTCGCCCAGGTAGGACAGTAGCAAGGCCGACCCCGAGCCCTCGCTGACCAGGAACAGTGGCGCAGCTGGCTGTCTGAAGCGAATGTAGGTGACCGCCTCCTTGAGATCTGAGGGGTCCCCGAATGTCTGAAGCTGGGTATTGAGCAGCGGACTGCCCTGATGGCCCCTTCGGTGGAAGATAACAGGGTAGTAACCCTTCTCCAGGGCCAAGAGGCAAAGTTGCACCACGTTGCGGGTCAGGCGACCCCAGGAATTGGGGATGACCAGCAGGACCGGCGGGGAGCTGTAGGCGTTAGTCACTACCTGAGGGCTGGGGGCCCAAGGTCCCACTACCCAGTCCAGGGCCACCAGCCCATTGTCCGCCAGCTGTAGGTTCTCCCGGGCCAGCTGGAGCCCCTGGCCTGCCGGGAGCATGAAATGGTAAAAGGTCTGTACATGGGGTCCTGAGAGCCACGAGCTGTGGGCAGGCTCGCTCAGGGCCACCGACTTGCGGAAGGTGCGCAGGAGACAGTGTGCCAGGGCAGAACGCTTAAAGATGAGGCGGCAGCCCCCGGGCACCAGTTCCTGGCCCTTACTGAAGCCGTCCCAAAAGGCTGGGTTTTCCTCCTCCTCTTCATCCTCTTCCAGCTCGTCCTCCTCGTCCTCCTCGTCCTCCTCCACCACCTCTTCCTTCGCTTTCTCCTCTTTCCTGTGCTCTGGCTTCTTTCTGGTACTGTCAGTGAATCGCCCCAGCCATCGGGCCAGGAGGCAGATCAGGCTTAGGGCAGTCAGGGCCAGGGAGAGGGCGGGGCCCCAAGCAGGCATGTCGAGTGCAGATCGGAATCGGGGTGGGGAGGATAGCGGGGGTCCGAAGACGAGAGAGCGAGCTACAGCAAAGAGCGAGAGGTGGGGCTGCGGCAGGCGAGTGTCCGCCCCCTCGGAGATCTCCTAGCTCTGCTCTGGGCGCAGCGGACTGCGAAGGCTGAGAGCCCTCCCGCTTGGGGGCCGTAGCTCCCTATTGGCCTGGCCTCTGGAGCAGCAGCCAGTTCGGGGCCGGCCGCCCTCCCTCACCCACCACCCGTCCTTTGTACAGTGATTGCGGCTGGAGGGAGTGAGGGCGGAGAGGGCACCCAGAGCTCGGAGTTGGGCGGGGCAGAGTCTCCCTGCCTGCATGCCGGAAGGGGCCTTGGGAGGAAGGTGGTGCCAACCGGGAGGCGTAGGGAGAGGGCTCTGGCGTGCAGCCCTGCTCGTGCCTGTACCTTTAGGGATCCCAAACAGACCCTGGGGAGCTGCGGAAACACCTCCTGCCTCTCCCAGCGATCCTTCCCGTTGTCCCACATGGGTTGGGCAGTCTTAGTCCAGGATCAGCCGTGAAGGGGAGGGGAGAGGAAACAAAAATTTCGAAGGCTGCGTCCGCGGGGCCCGGCCCTCCTCCGACTCCAAGGAAAAAGTGTGGGAGCCCAGGCTCTGGCGGCGGGGCTGTGGCTGGCTGGTACTCCGCGCTCTCCCGCTGTCTGAGCGACTGTAGAAACTGGACAGTCTTCCTTCCCTCCTTTTGCCCTCCTTCCCCTGCTAGTCCTCTCCGGACCCAACTCTGAGTTCAGGATTTGGGCTCGGCCGCCACGATCCACAGAGCGAGTGTGAAGCTAAAGAGCTTAGAGAGGGAAAGAGGCAAACAGAGCAGGGACAGAGACGGGCTGGAGAGTTAGTTGCCTGCGTCTGGGGCTGAATGGGAGAAGGGGAGGACAGCGAGGTAGGAGCGCCGAATGTTGTCTAAGAAGGGGTTGGGGCTATGAAGGTAACAGAAGGGGTCCTTTCCCACAGTCGCCAGAGAGACCTTGACCTCAGAAAGAAAGCTCCCATACAGCCTTTGGGGAGAGGGGATCCCCACCCCGGCCCTGCTGTCAGAAAAAAGCCCCGAAGACAGATGCCTGTCGTAGAGGGAGGGTCTCACACTACGAACCCGGCCTCTGAAAGACAGTTCCCAGTCAGACCCTTGTGGAGAGGACCCCACCCAAACACCGTGCAGTGAATGAGTTCCCAGACTCCTCTGCGGAGAGGGTAACTCCGCAACGAACCTGACCTCAGAAAGCACTCCCACCGCCAGACCCTTGCGGAGAGAACCCTCCCGCAGAAACTGGGATCTTACAGACAGACCTGTGCAAAGAGGGCTCCCGACAGAAACCTTGGGATCCCCTGCAGAGAAAGGGCTCCTCTTTGAGCAGGAGATCACCCTAGGATGGGAGTGCAGAATTGCTAACCAGGGTGGAGAGGGCAAGGAGTCTCTTGGCTTGGAAGAATCTGGTTGCCTTCCCGTGGATTTTTTTTGGTTGAACCCAGCAATCCACCACCATGACTCCTTTAAATTCTAGTGGAATGTTGTTGGCAGAACCAGGGTCCAAGAGAAAGGAGAGAGGAGGTAGGCCAGAGGTCCCTGCAAGCTCTCCTATTTGGGGGCGAGGCCAGCTGGCTACCTCCATATCGCTATGGATGAAAATCCAGCTCTCCCCATCGCTAACAAACATCTCATGTCCACAGTAATAGGGCAGTGTGTGTGCTCCCCCTCCCCCTCCCCCTCCAGACTGTGGATCGGTGGTCTGATGGAGGGATTCACACTGGGTGCAGAAGAAAGTTCAGCTGGGGCCAGGGAATTTGGAAGTGGGTGGCTCCTCGGGGCACGATTCCTAATAGGATCAGCCCTGGTCAAGAACGCAGTGATTGCTTCCTTTGTTCCCTTCATCTTTCCCCTCCACACCCCTGCCCTCACCCAGTTCGTCAGACCCGATTTTGCAACAGGAGAGGGGGAGTTGGAGACCTGTGGTTTGGGGATTGGATCCTGGGCTTTGGGGAGGATGGGGTGGGAGCCCAGGAGGCTCGAGGTCAGAGTTTCACTTCTGAAAGCTGGGACCTGACCTTCAAGGAGTTGGAATAACAATGCTAAGAATGACATAACAGCTTCGGCTGTAATAAGTTAACACTGTACTAAGAGTTTTGCGACTCGCTGTACAGCCAAGAACGTCCTCTTATTAATTATCTCATTTAAACCTCTGGATAAATCAGTGAGATAAGTGAATTTGAATATATATGTGAGCTTTGAATATCTAGTGCTTTGAAATGCTTTAATAACGATAGCTAGCATGTTCTTGGCACTTTAAGGTTCTTAAGGCGCTTGACAAGTATTATCCCCATGACAACCTACTGAGAAGGTAGGTGCTATTATTATTTTACTGATGAGGAAACTGAGGCAGACAGTGGTTAAGTGACTTACCAAAAGTCACACAGTCAGTGGCCGAGACCACTGGAGGATTTGAACCCAGGTCTTCCTGGCTCCAGGTCCTGCTGGAGTAATAATAATAATAATGATGATAACAAGCGACATTGATACGGCTCTTTAAGGCGTACAAAGTGCTTCACTCGGCTTATCCATGTTTCACTAGAAGCTCAGAGCTTAGGTACTGCTGGTATTATGTATCCCCATTTTATAGAAGACAAAACTGAGGCTCAGAGAGGGGTCGGGGTTGGCCCGGGCTCCCAGATGTCTCTCCCCACAACTCTCTCCCAGGAGGCTCCTAGAGATTCGGGCTTAGTTAAGGATGCTCAAAGCCGTTTCTGGTGCCTGCGGGGCTCGCTTCTGGGCAGCTAGAGTGCTTCTACTCATTTGCCCCGAACCCCGCCCAGCGCGCGATGCCAACTGTTACCTACCAACCACTGGAGACTGCGCGTGCGCAACCCCCTCTATAGACACCCCCCTCTTCCATTGTACCCCCCAGCTTCTGCGCAAGCGCCAGTTTTCTCAACTAGCGCTCCTCTCACGCTCCCTCACAACTCCGCGGGCCTCGTCTATTTCCCCTCAACGTGACCTCGCCGAGCTGGCGTCACTGAGCGCGGCCGGCCGGATATTTTGTTGCAATTCGCCTCTCCTCCGACCCCCCCGCCCTCACGCACACGCGCTCGCTCATCCCGGCGCGCACGGAGGAGGCGGAGCCTAGAGGGCGGGATCTGGATCCCAGATCCAGCTGGGGGCGGAGCCAACTCTAGGGGCGGGGCCAGGAGCAGAGACTCTCAGACAGCCTCCTTGATTGACAACGCAGGCCAGGGGCGGGGCGGAGGGTGGGCGCGTAGGGGGTGGGGCGAGGAGCGAGGAAGAGTCTGTCCATTACATGGGCGGGGCGCGAGGGAGGGGCGGAGCCAGCGAATGGGGGCGGGGCCAGAGGCCGGGCCGGCGGGGCCAGCTCCCCGCCGGGACAGTCCGGGGCTTGGGCAGGGGATGGCGGCGCCCCGCTGGCCGCAGCTGCTGCGGCAGCCACCGCTGCTGCTGCTGCTGCTGCTGCTGCTGCTGCTGTTGCTGTTGCCGGCGCTGTTCTGCCGGGCGGCGCGCGGCCCCAGGGCGGTAAGTCTGCCCCTTGCCCCGCCTAGGGGACTGCACTCTCCTCCTCCGAGATCTGCAAGCGCCCCCAGCACTTGGCACAGGGGCTGGAAGGGAGGATCCAGGAGCGCAGTCCCGAGTCCCCGCCTCCTCATCTTCAACCTTTGTCTTGCTGGCTCCGCCAACCTGGAACCCCATTTCAGAGAGTGGGGAAACCGAGTCCAGAGGCAGACAGGAGGAGGGCGCCCTCCCGCTAGGCTGGGAGCTCGCGCCTCCGGGCAGACAGGGAGGAATGCAAGGAGGGTGGAGGGCTTGGGCGGGAAGAGTAGGGATCCCTTCCAGACGAGTCGCTCTAGCTCTCTGCTTCTGGGGTTTGCAGGTCCTGACTGAGCTGGCCCAGGACAGGGTCCGATGCCCTGGGGAGCTGTGGCCTCTATCCCAAGAGGTAGGACTCTTGCATTGGTGTATAAATGGGGCCCAGGCTGAGCCCACCCACCCACAAATCCTCTGCGCATGTGGACTGAGGACTACTTTGGGGACTTGAGAGGCGTCTGCCCCTAACACCTCCAGGTTTCCGGTCCAGATTCCCAGTTCTGCAGTGACACTCCCTGCTGTCTCTTTTTGAGAACCCCAGATGTCCCTACTGTCCTTCAGATCTACAGGGATCTCACAGCTTGCTCCCTCTCCCTCTTCCCACATAAGTAATTCATTGAACAAAAACAGTTCTCCAGAGCATACTCTGTACAAGCACTGGTGTACAAAGATGAATAAGACTTCAGCCTTAAGGAGCTTTTCCTCTACCCCCCAGCCTGCTCCTGGTTTCCTGGAATGTGTTTCCCTGCCCCCTCCTCATCCCTCCCCTTACCCCCATCCTGGCCAAGAGTTAAAGTATTCACTCCTTCTCCCCAACCAAAACCTCCATGGGTGCTCTTAAGTCACTCAGACTTCCTCCTTTCCCTACCCACAGGTGTCTCCAAGAGTAAGCAAGACTTGGATGGGCCCAGGGCAGGTAGGGGCCACATACAGCATGGTGGTGATGGGGAAGGCTGATGTTGCTTCTTTTCATCTTGTGTCACTAACTCTATCACCCATAACTCTGGGGTTTAGACCATTTACTCCAGCCGAACTAATTTGCTTGCCATCAGCCCTCCACCCAAAATGACAGGTAGGAGGTATGGGGCACTGGCATGGTGAGTGAGTGCTTCCTGACTGACTGGCCCAGAGCTAGATGGTGGGATGCTGTAGGCTGGAAAGAGCATTGAAACTGGGCATCAGGTAGAGCCGGGTTCTAGTCCCAATTCTGCCTCTCACTTGTTGTTGACAAGCATCTGCCTGGCATATTAATATGGGCATCAGATGAGATAATGTGTGTGAAAGTTCTTTAAAAAGAACCCTATCCATTACTTTGGGGGGGTGTAAATGTAAGTCACTCAGACCTTATACCTTGGAACCATCTTGGACTCATCTTCTAAATCCAGTCAGTTTCTTCAATCTTTTAGAATGTTACCTCTCCAACCCTTCCTCTCCATTTATTACAACAGTCCTTTTGAGGGACTCTAGCTCTTCCCCCTCCTATCATGGAGACTGTTGCCTTGAGGAATCTTCCCCCACATCCTTTCATCATATCATTCTTGTACTCAGACAGTCCATGGCTCCCTATTTCTTGCTGCGTCTTTGCTTGGCCCAGTATGATCTGGCTTGATCTGGCTACCCATCCAGTCTTATATTAATTTCCACACAAACCCTCTGCCTAGCCTAGCCTAGCCAGGCTCATATACCTATGCAGACTCATTTTTGTCATGCTGTCCTACCTCCTGATTTTTGTGCACTACTGATCCTCTCCTCTAGCTTTTCTCCATCTATCCAAATCTTGACTGTCCCTCAGTGAAGGAAAAAGAATTTATTAAGTTAGCATATATTCTGTGCACAGCACTGTCCTAGCATTTGAAGAGAGGAGACGGCATGTAAAAGAGTGTTGAATTGTAGAGTGGAAAGCCTGGTGCATCCCTGATCTCAGTTCCTCCACTGGTCCTCTGCACTCCACCCTGCTCTTTGTTTGAACCCTGGAAGCATAACAGAGTTTGACACACCTTCTGACTCGTCTATACCCTCTTATTTCATATGTTTTAACTTTGTCTTCTTCACTAGAGCCTTCTTTTCTGCCTGAGGCAGGGACTGTGTCTAATGCGGCTTTTCTCTTCTGTAGT